TGTAAACCCTAAGTAAGTTATTGCATTAAACTTGAATGGGCTATAAAACTGTATATGTACTCAAAAAAAAATAGTAGTACACTTTTGCGGAACCAGGTCAAAATTTACTTAAAAATTCGAGAGTGGTATCAATCGACACGTCTTAACGCCAATAATAATAATCCGAGACCGGAAATTAATATTTTTAATTCATTAAAGAGTTATTTGCAAGAAATACTTGCACTCTTCGCACTATGTTTTGATGAATTTGATGCAAATAAATTGAATAATGAACTCAACTCCAGCCCCCCTCTTCTTGGCAACAAGGAGAATTCTACGTAGTGAGGCTGTCTAGGCGAAAAGGAGTTACGACGCACTAAAACTTTTTTAATAGAGTGGCAGCAGCAATTTTCCTCCCATTTTATTTTTAATAAAGTGGCAACACCACTTTTCCTCCATCTTATTTATATTAACTTCACAAGATTGTTGTGCGGATTTTCAACACCGGAATATTGCAATTAAATACAGAATTTCGTGAAAATGTGCACTTAAAACATCAGAAATGCATAAAAACTAATAAATACGTGTTGAGTTCATTTACTCCATTTATTTGCGTCAAATTCATCAAAACATATTGCCAAAATCACAAGTGTTTTTTGCAAATAACTTGAAATAAATAAAAATGTTTCCGGTCTCGGATTATTATTATTCGAGTTAAAACGCGTCTCGATTGATACCCCTTTCGAATTTTTTCATCAATTTTGGCCTGGTTCCGCTAAAGTGCACTTTTACCCAAAAAAAAAATTTAACACTTCTGAGAAAAAAGTTTGAAATTTGGATGAAATTTGTTTGAAAATTTGAAAAATGTTAAAAATTAATAAATATACATTAGTGACAAACAATATAATTCTTAATTTGGTCCAAAATGATATGCCCAACACTGTACATTGTACACATGTACATAAATATGTGCATAGCTTTTGCCTTGCCACCATCTCATGACATTCCGATTGCTCTTTATGTTTTGACTTGGCTTTTGTCTCTTTTGTCATAACCACAAAGTTTCATTATTTCGCAGTTGACAAGAAGTCGCTGAAGATGCAACAAAGCAACTCGTATACCTAGTAAAGAAATCAGAATAACTAATACGAAATTAGTGAAAAACATTCAATAAATAGTTTTTCTAAAAATTTATTAAATTTCAAATAGTTGTACAGCAACAAAACTACTTGCTTAATACTTTCGAGATTCCCCTCCCCCCAAAAAGTAAAGGCAAACTGCAAGCACTTGCAAGTCATCGAATCAATCGAGACTGGTTTGCTTTTTGGGGGCTAACTACTCGCTGCGTTTGTGCATAAGTGAAGGCGGTGCCGGAGCAAGAGGCGGAAGTGAGTAACTAGTGCCCACAACGCTAAGCAGAGCGAAGAATGTGAAAAAGAAAGCTTTAGACAAAGTGAAACGTTCGAGTTGATTTCATGTGAACTTGTGTGTGTGTTTTCCCCCGACTGTGTAGCCTGATTTTGTAAAAAGCAATGGACAGCAAAATTGTGAAATTCATTCATTCAATTGCCATTTGATTGATTGGTAAGAACCCCAAGAAAATTAGTTGACTTAATGTGCATACCTGCATATGCTATTAGTTAGAGATTACAACTAAATTTCGTATTGAACATGCAAATTTGAAAACGACGTATTTACTTTAATTTTGTAGTATATGTATCTATGTGTATATGTAAGTATGCATGCTATACCTGCAAATTTTCGCTTCCCATTATTCGGTAAAAAAAAACTATACTAGAAAGTTTCAAAGGTCATTGCCTTGCGCGAAACGTCTCGTAGCAGCCACAGCCACAGCCGCCGCCATAGTAAATATGAGATAAATAATCATTTTTGTGAATAAATCCCACTGTTTCCGGTAATGTTTATGTTGATTGCAATATTGTATGTATATTGTATGAATATGTACATATTTACATATGTTTTTATGTACATACATATATGATACTTTCATTTACAATAATTTTTCATTTAAAATTTATAAATACATTAGTGAACTCATGCCATACGAGACGCCAGAATCTTTGGTCGAAAAGTTGCACGTAAGAGAAGAAATTCAAAAAAAAGAAAAACAAATTAATTTTTGAAAATTTCTCCTATGTATTAAACCAATTAGTAACAACTTTTTACCTAACATATTCATTAAACTGTACTCGACTTTTTAAACAGTTGGGAACCCTTTATAAAAATATTTTCGAAACAGATTTTTTACGCCTCTTCCGTTTAACATTCACAGGGACTCAAACAAATGACCGCGGGATGATTTTTTTTAAATTCGTATTGTGAATATATATATATTTTTTTAAATTCGTAATGTAATGGTTTTTTTTTCTTTTAAATTCGTAATGTGATTTTTTTTAAACTCGTAATGTGATAATATTTTTTTTTTAATTCGTAATGTGATTTTTTTTTTTAATTCGTAATGTGATGATTTTTCTTTTTTTTAATTCGTAATGTTATGATTTTTTTTTAATTCGTAATGTTTTTCGAGCTGGACTTTTTTGTTGTTATTTTTTCTAAAAAAAATACCGTCCAAGCTTTAACCAAAACCATATAAATCACAGTTTCAAACAGTTTATACAAAATTTAGGAAAATTCAACAAATTTTCATCAAAATTTCAACTTTTAATCTGTATGCAGCTTTATAGCCCATATAGTTTAAGTCCAATAAAGTGCAAGTTTCAAAGGGCTCAAATGTCCCGCTAATTTTTGAGATTTTTTTTTGTGACCTTCGTATAAGCATAAGTTTCTTCTGAAATACGGCAGACCGTTAGCACCAAAATCGCAAAAAATCAACGCAAGTTTTTGTAAATTGCGCTTGTTATTTAAAAAAATAAAAGACGGAAAAAGTAGTCTACAAAAAAAAAAAAATCCAAAAATCAACGCTATTTGTTAGCCGGCTGAAACTTTCGCTTCATGACTAAAATTTTATATGTTTTACTAAAACTCACATAGTGTGTTTCTCAGAGATCACTCATTTTCAAATCAATATAACTTTTTGCACCAGCGACGAATTGCAGAACGGTTTGACGCAATTTGATAAGTCTTGCCAGATGGATGTGCATCAACACCACATAGTGACAAAAATCCCCAGAGACTTTTTATATGACCCAGTAAGCAAACGCGCATAGATACATATTCCACTCGCCTTTATAGGCGCTGCCGAAGTTTTTGCGTTTTTGCTGGGAACTTGTTAAAAACTCCTCCCGCTGGATAATTTTTTCGTATTGCTGCTATAACAAAAACAATAAATAATTCTCTCTACGAACGAACTATAACCATCAGCACGTATGTATGTATTTATATAATAAATAAAACTCGCTTTAATCCTCATTAAACCCTCTTCAGACGGGCTGTAATGAATTTTTTGGAGCATTTTGATACAAAAAAAGTGAAAATATCATTTGACGATGCATATTTATGAGACAAATACATATATAAAGAGCATAAGCAGAACAAAATTTCATAGATACCCCTTAATTTGTTATTCGATTACGTATAATGACCCTATGTTTTGTTTATAGTAAATAAATATGTATGTAAAACACCAAACAGTCAACACCAGAAGGTACAACATCCTATCTCGCCTTTACATTAAGTACTTTTGTTATTCAACTTCAAATCCTGCTAATGTTTACATCAACAATAGGCAGCCACACACAACTAAATAAACATTTTAGTGTTGTTGAACCAATGCAAGTATGTATGTATCTATGTATGTATACCATTTGGTACAATAACCTTTGAACCTCAACTACATAGCTTTGGCTGACTGGTCTAACAGCAATCCTTGCACATTGGCTAAAAAAGTATGAAACGTGCGCTAACATCATGAAATGTGCTACATACATATGTATATTTTGTGCTTAAATGATTGTTTAATTCTATCGTAATAAACTAAATCTCTATGGTTATAAACCAAAGACAAATCTTGTTACCTTTGATTGATGAAGTTGGCCGAATAACAGATGTGTTCAGATGAAATTACTTATGCCACTTTTAAAATAAACGGCTCATAGTTAAAAAAATTAAGTTCTTAAGTGTTTACTAAAGCTAATGAACCAAAATCTGTCATAAATTTTCTATTTTTTCTGGTCACAGCATCAGAGGTGAAGTTGACATAGAATATTGCTCGCTTTTTTCGGAGTGGAAGCAAAGTAAAAAGGTTATGAACCTTTCATTTTCATTTGTGCTAAACTCAGCACACTGCTCTCCAAAAATTTTCTTTGAAATGTACAATGACCGATGTGCCATTTCGGCTGGGCTTTCATATTTTTGGCAAAGGCAATCTACGGGAAAAGTAGTAGTAGTGAAAAGTTGGAGTAGCATGTGTATGTGTTACATGCGTATGTTTTTGTATGTAAGTTATTCAGCTCGTATATTGAATTGCAATGCTAGGGAATAAGTGTAACAGGGAATGTTTTTACGACTGTTTAATTCTTTGTATCTTTTACTGTAGTTGATAAGCAAAAATAAAAACAAAACTTCAGGAATGCAAATATCAAGTACGTTCTGAGCCTGAGCGCTTACTCATTCTTGTAGAAGATCTTAAAATTATAAGTTGTGAGCTACACTTCTTACGCTTATTGCTGTAGGAAATCAGCAGACTGCAGAAAAGGCAAAGGCAATAATGCAACGGATGTCTGCCATTTTTTCCATTAGAGTGTATGTACTTACAGTGACGGTAAAAAAAAAGAAAAAAATTTAACTTCCAAAGTTTATTGAGTTTGTCTTTTTCTTCAAAAATATGTAAAGAAAGCATCAACAAAACAAAAGCCAACGAGATACAAACTATTAGTATTCTCAAATATATGTACATATATAATGCATTTTTGCTATAAAAATATGCAAAATTACTATAGAAAAACTTTTAATATTGAAATATTCATGAGGCTAAGTGGTTACTAAAACCACGTCGGTCGTTCTCGCTATCAAACCACTAACTCTCTCTAACCACTATTTTATTATTATTATTATTTGTTTGAGATTGCCCATTTTTGGTAAAGAAATAACAGTGGAGCACATAATTTGCCAGTGCCCAGCTTTCAACAGGCAACAAAGTATCCGCACCCCTTGGTGAAGTCCGGCTACAGGGCCTGCGATCAGCAAATCGGAAAAGGGCAAAAGTGTCTAATAAATACAACTCGCTAAAGCTACGGCAAATGTTCTTTAAATGTTCGTAAATGTATCATGACCATACGAACGGTCTATGCCAGACAGCACAGCCTTACCTAACTTTATTTAAGCCCTCTAAAGTTAAGGTGTAGTAACCGTGAAAATCGATTTAAAAACATAACGCTACTCTCACCGTGGGCCAGACACCCATGCCTGTGTCTTCCTTGTAAACACTTATTCATCTGCTACAGATTCATCGTCTTATTCATAAAAAGTAAAATACTTTTATAGAGCTCTATAAAGTGATATTTTCATAAAAATTTTCGATTTATAAAGTATTCTTTATTTTTTATGATTATTGGTGTAATACTTTAAGGAAAAGTCAAAGAAAAGTGAACGAATTTCTAAAAAGTTTTAGTCAAACAGACCCGCCGGCCCTGTTTGTATTATTTTACGCATCACTGTTAGTACATCCATACATAAGCATGCGAAGCACGGATTTTTATTGGTCACTTCTACAATGCGTAGTATTTATTTATGTACACATGTATGTTGTATTCCTTTGTATTATGCATTAATAGGTTCGTTATCAGAATTTATATATTTTTGTTTTTGTTCTGTATTGTTTGGTTATTTTTATGCCGGCGCGTTAAATGCAAATGCAACCTTAAATATGTATTATAGGTATGTATGTGTGTATGATGAGTACAAGAGTAGGAAAATGTTATCGCATTGTGGAAATTCCATTGTATTGTATTTGAACAGAAATTCTTTATTGGAATCTATGTTGGTAGCCGTGGTTAATTTGCATTACTTGATTGTGAGACGCATAGCAGCACAACCTTGACAAGTCTGGGCCGAACTTCTAATGAAATTTATTGTATTGTTTTGTGTTTGTGTGTGTGTTTGTTTGCGGTTTCTTTTTATCTTTATAAACGCAATACTTAGAGATTTATTTTTAATACGATCTCTCACAAAACCAAAACTTACATATCCGATATTCAGATTATTGTACCTCTAAAGGCGGCCACCACAGCCGAGTGGTTAGAGGTGGTTGTTTGGACCCAGGTCCGATTCCTGGTCCGACCAACATTCAAGTGTCTTTGTAATAACGGTAGCGCTTTGGCAGCCAATAGCATATCCCCGAGCTTATGTACATATGTATGTATTTCCAACACGATAAGCTTCGCATGAAAAAACACTTGACGTCGAAAAA